TTATGTATTATACATGGAGATCGTATCCCCCCTATGTATTGTACATGGAGATAATATCCCCCCTTATGTATTATACATGGAGATGTATCCCCCCTTATGTATTATACATGGAGATCGTATCCCCCCTTATGTATTATACATGGAGATCGTATCTCCCCCTTATGTATTATACATGGAGATCGTATCCCCCCTTGTGTATTATACATGGGGATCGTATCCCCCTTATGTATTATACATGGGGATCGTATCCCCCCTTATGTATTATACATGGAGATCGTATCCCCCCTTGTGTATTGTACATGGAGATCGTATCCCCCCTTGTGTATTGTACATTGTGATCGTATCCCCCCTTGTGTATTGTACATGGAGATCATATCCCCCCTTGTGTATTATACATGGAGATCATATCCCCCCTTGTGTATTATACATAGAGATCATATCCCCCCTTGTGTATTATTGATACATCCCCCCTTATGTATTATACATGGAGATCATATCCCCCTTATGTATTATACATGGTGATCATATTGTATTATACATGGTGATCGTATCCCCCTTGTGTATTGTAAATGGAGATCGTATCCCCCCTTATGTATTACACATGTTGATCATATCCCCCCCTTATGTATTATACATGGAGATCATATCCCCCCTTAATCTCTTCTCAAGAGGAATTAATTCAGTTCCTCTAATCTTTCCTCATAGCTGATCTCCTTCATGCCTCTTAACAGTTTGGTTGCCCTTCTCTGTACTTTCTCCAGTTCCCCAATGTTCTTTTTGTGAATTGGTGCCCAAAACTGAACTGCATATTCCAGGTGAGGTGTTTGATTAGCACACAATATGAACCGTATTTAGCCTCATCCAGTATACAGTGCTGTGTTTCGGTAGTGGGATGAGAACTTCCCTTCCCACTCCTAGAACAAAATATTCAGGCTCAGCATGGCCAAGCCATTCATGACCTTTATGAATACAAAGTTTCCTATGAATGGCTGGCTGAGGTGGAAATCATGGCGGCATCCTGCTGTCTCTCTGCCTCAGCCAATCAGAGGAAGCTTTGTATTCATTCACAGAACACAAGGCTTCATGTGAATAGTTGATCAGTGGTCAGCCCAACTTTATTTTGTTTCGGGAGCGAGAAAAGAAGTTTTCAACCCATTGCTAGAACACAATGGGGGAGATTTACTAAAGCAGGTTCACTCAGAATCTGGTGCAGCTGTGCATGGCAGCCAATCGGCTTCTAACCTCAGCTTGTTCAGTTATGCTTTGGCAATAAAACCTGAACTCTCCCGCTTTAGTAAATAAACCCCAATGTGTTAAAGTGTAACTCCACTTTTGTGAAGAAAAAACATTCCCCTCTGGGTGATCTATGTACATTGCAGGGATTTGTTGCAGATTCCTATCTTTTTGGTTTTTTTTTAAGAATTAACTGTTTGTGTCCATGTGCTGAATGAATCTGGGAGGGATTTCATAATTATCAATCAGCTGCTGCACTTGTAGGACTCTGAGTAAAGTGGCAGGGTCTGCATCCCTTTAGACGTGAGTTCCCTTTGGGAGTATCTCACCAAAAATTACATTTTTGTTGCCGGGGATGCCCAAAATCTGACTTGAATCTTGGTTCAGATTTCTGCAAAAATCAGTAAGCCAATCACACAAGCAGGAATGACAGATCTGGGGGGCATTCAGTACAACATCTGTGTACAGAACACTCCAGGTAGCCATATTGCAGTTTACAGAAAATGAAAGCACTGCAGATTAAAAAGGAAATGTAATTTTTAATAACATTCAATTACAATATGACTTGTGTCAAAATTGCATGTGCTGTATTTTTTATTTATTTGCTAATTTTATTTCCCATGAAATTGGATTTGCCCACCATGTGACCCTGTTAATGCAGAAAATAGTCCCTTTGGGCCAGCTTGGCCCAAACAAAATATTTAAAGTGCTATTAAACATGGAGTTAGGCTTTAACCTGGAACATTGGTAACTATAACAGATAGAGAGGCTGCAGACTTAAGTGATTAAATCAGCTGCTGAAAGTGTTTTAAATAATATCACTTAAAGTGTAGATATTGCCTCAACTTAAAGCGGAGTTCCACCTGGAAAAAAAAAAACTGTAGCTGCTGACTTTTAAAATACAGACACTTACCTGTCCCTCGGTCCAGCGGTGTCCTCACCACGGCTGGTTTCACCGGCCGTCTTCTCTCCCTGGTGCCGGCATCTTCAGTGTGCAGCTTCACAGCCGGGTGCTCACTGCACATGCTCGAGCAGCGCTGCGCTTTGTGAATGGCCACGTAGTCTTCTGGGACCTATCATGTGTCCCAGAAGACTACAGGGAGGGAGGGGAGAAGGACAACTTCCGCTTCCGATCACCTAAGCAGCAGAAGTGGGAGCGAGTACCTGTCAAATTCGGGTGCCCGCTCCCCCAAGGTGCCAATCCTTAATGGAGAGTGGGGGACAAAGACTTAAAGTGGAGCTTCCCCTTTTGGGTGGAGCAACGCTTTAAAGTGGTTGTAAACCCTTACATATACCCAGTGAAGTGACTGGCCTCAGGTGATACACAGAGATGAAACAAATCCTCCTACATAAGTTGTACCTGTTTATCTTTAGCCCTCTCTCCTCCATTCAAAGTGCAGAAATTACACAGGTTCTTTCAGCTCTTAAAATCAGGGGACAGAGATCTGAAGTTGCACTCAGTGAGGAGAGCTCTGAGCGCTGATTGGAGGAAAAAGATACCCCTCCCCTCCACCCAGCAACATAACTGAGGCTGTCAGTCTGATGGAGGTCCCTCCCCTGTCACCATTTTTCTCTTGGTGTCAGGAAGACTTGTCAGAAGTGACTCCTGGTTATAGCAGAAGAACGAGGCAGAAAGAAATGACCCTAAATGTTCTGGATTGAGACAAATACACACCATAGAAGGATATGCTTTGTTCAAATTTCTTGTCTGAGATTTACAACCACTTTAAGTCTGAATACATGAAGCACAATAGTCTGGCAGCTGCCATTCACAAGAAAAAAGTTTAGCAATGGCAGCCTGAATATTTTTTTTCAGTACAGTTTTCCTTTCCTCGAGGACCTCCTAAATAATAACATTAATATATGCCTGATATGTATGATAATTCTTAGACAAGTGTAGACCCCCCCAGCACTAAGTGAAATTAGAACACTTCCCAATGGACTCAACAGTCACTTCAAACATCTGTAGCAGCTTAACATTACAAGATAGGTGATGTATCCTAGTTACAAAGCAGATTGTGTCACAATCCTGACTCAAAACTTAGCAACATGTACACACACACACACACACACACCTCACACACACCACCTCAGATATCGTTGCTGTATTGTCTCCCTTTATATTGTAAAGCGCTGAGCAAACTGTTGGCGCTATATAAATCCTGTATAATAATATATATATACACACACCCACACATATATATACATACATACATACACACACTATATTGCAAAATGCATTGGTCGGCCTGCCTTTACACACACATGAACTTTAATGACATCCCAGTCTTAGTCCGTAGGGTTCAATATTGAGTTGGCCCCGCCCTTTGCAGCTATAACAGCTTCAACTCTTCTGGGAAGGCCGTCCACAAGGTTTAGGAGTGAGGTTTGACCATTCTTCTAGAAGTGCATGAGTGAGGTCAGGCACTATTGTCAAACGAGAAGGCCTGGTTCGCAGTGTCCGGTCTAAGTCATCCCAAAGGTGTTCTATGGGGTTGAGGTCAGGACTCTGTGCAGGCCAGTCAAGTTCCTCCACCCCAAACTGGCTCATCCATGTCTATATGGACCTTGCTTTGTGCACTGATGTGCAGTCATATTGGAACCGGAAGGGACCATCCTCAAACTGTTCCCAGAAAGTTGGGAGCATGAAATTGTCCAGAGTGTCTTGGTATGCTGATGCCTTAAAGAGTTCCCTTCACTGGAACTAGGGGGCCAAGGCCAACCCCTGAAAAACAACCCCACACCATAATCCCCCCTCCACCAAACTTTACACTTGGCACAATGCAGTCAGCCAAGTACCGTTCTCCTGGCAACCACCAAACCCAGACACGTCCATCAGTTTGCCAGACAGAGAAGCGTGATTGGTCACTCCAGAGAACACATCTCCAATGCTCTAGAGTCCAGTGGCAGCGTGCTTTACACCACTGCATCCGACCCATTGCATTGCCCTTGGTGATGTAAGGCTTGGATGCAGGTGCTCGGCCATGGAAACCCATTTCATGAAGCTCTCTACGCACTGTTGTGCTAATCTGAAAGCCACACAAGGTTTGGAAGTCTTTAGCTATTGATGCTGCAGACAGTTGGTGGCTTGTTCGCACTGTGCGCTTCAGCATGCGCTGACCCTGCTCTGTCAATTTACATGGCCTACCACTTGGTGGTTGAGTTGTTATTATAAACCCACTAACAGTTGACCGTGGAATATTTAGTAGCCAGGAAATTTCACGGATGGACTTATTGCACAAGTGGCACTTTCTCCAGTTCCCCAATGTTCTTTTTGTGAATTGGAGCCCAAAACTGAACTGCATATTCCAGATGAGGTCTTACTAATGATTTGTACCGGGGGAAATGATATCTCTCTCTCTGGAGTCTATACCTCTTTTAATACAAGAGAGGATTTTGCTCGCTTTAGAAACCGCAGCTTGGCATTGCTGCCATTATTAAGCTTGTGATCTACCAGAACCCCCAGATCCTTCTCCACCATTGATTCCCCCAGTTGTACCCCCCCAGTATGTATGATGCATGCATATATTCTTAGCCCCAAAGTGCATAACCTTACATTTATCAACATTAAACCTCGTTTGCCACATAATTGCCCAATTAAAGAGTGAATTGATGTCGGCTTGTAAGTTGAAGACATCCTGTAAGGACGCTATTCCACTGCATAACTTGGTGTCATCTGCAAAGACTGAAATGGTATTTTTAATCCCAGAACCTATATTGTTTATAAATATATTAAAAAGTAAGGGTCCCAATACTGAACCTTGGGGTACACCACTGACAACCCCAGACCATTCAGAGTATGAATCATTAACCGCTATTCTTTGAATACAATTTTTTAGCCAGTTTTCTATCCATTTACATACAGATTTTTCCAAGTCTGTAGACTTTACCTTACACATTAACCGTGTGTGGGTAACTGTGTCAAACGCTTTTGCAAAATACAAGTATACCACGTCCACCACCACCCCTCTGTCCAAGTATACCACGTCCACCGCCACCCCTCTGTCCAAGTATACCACGTCCACCGCCACCCCTCTGTCCAAGTATACCACGTCCACCGCCACCCCTCTGTCCAAGTATACCACGTCCACCGCCACCCCTCTGTCCAAGTATACCACGTCCACCGCCACCCCTCTGTCCAAGTATACCACATCCACCGCCACCCCTCGGTCCAAGTATACCACATCCACCGCCACCCCTCGGTCCAAGTATACCACGTCCACCACCACCCTTCGGTCCAAGTATACCACGTCCACCGCCACCCCTCTGTCCAAGTATACTATGTCCACCGCCACCCCTCTGTCCAAGTATACCACGTCCACCGCCACCCCTCGATCCAAGTATACCACATCCACCACCACCCCTCTGTCCAAGGTTTTGCTCACCTCCTCATAAAAAGAAATCAGATTTGTTTGACAACTTCTGTCTTTCATGAATCCATGCTGTTTGTTGCTTAAAATATTTTTTTCCAGCAAGAACTCATCTATGTGATCTTTTATTAAACTCTCCAGTATCTTCCCAAAAACTAAAACTAACAGGTCTGTAATTACTTGGTAAAGCTTTTGACCCCTTTATAAATATTGGCACCACATTGGCCTTACGCCAATTACTGATTGAGAACCACTGACCCCAATGTACTTGGGTGCTTGTGTTTCCTGGTGAGGTTAACTTCTGTTCCTTCAAAAACTATTCTGATTCTTTTGATTTGGTTCACATATTTTTACCTATATTCACTAGACTTATCATTCTGACCGAACAACTCCTGAATTTCATCTTAGAGTAACTCCTGGAATCTGGTTGCCAAGGAAAATACTTCCACTTTTCTAAAATGTTCAGAATCCCAGCATTTCTCTTCTATATTTAAGGTCCTAACTTCTAAAAAAAAAAAAAAAAAAAAAAAAAAAAAAATCATACTAAATGGTCATGCTTGGAAATCCACCTCAATAAACCGAAGATCCTTCTATAAAGTCATTTTGTAGTCTATATTAGAACACCATATTAGATAAATAGTAATAATCTCCCTGGCAAGTCAAACTCTCTTACCTGGGCTCAGGCAGACTCCAGACACCAAGTTCTTATCGTGGTCTCTCTGCTCTGTGTGTTCAGATCTCGCTTTGCATGAGCTCTCAGCACAAGTCAAATGATGCTCAGGATTTGAATAGGATTTGAATGTTCCACTGGGTCGGGGAGGCAGGCTGGCAGTTCTTTAAAGTGGCACTTGGAGACGGCCCTAATTGGCATGTAGGGCAGGTGTGTCAGGGTGGGCCATGTGAAGGCCTGGGGGTGGGAGACAGAAAGTAGGGCAACATGAGGGAATATTTCAAACCATTAAACAATTTCCTAGACAGAAATCCATGACAATTGGCCACTGGTGCTTGAATGTCTTCAGGCTCTGCCCATGGCTTAAACTAACACACAGGTTTTGTTTTTGGTAAGGGATCAAACGTATTCAGTCCTGTATCAGCTCCATAGATAATTCACAGGGCTTGACAGGAGAACATTTAAAGCTGAACTCCAGTCCCCATTTATTCAAATTTGCTCAATATTCACAAAGATTAAAAATCCATTTTGTGTGCACTAAATGCTTTTGCAAATCCAGATACTATTTTGTAAAAGTAGTAGTGACATCGTCACTGTGCTGCACATAGCCTGTACAAAGAGCAGAGCTGTGGGAGGGACCCAGCAGGCCCCACCCACTACAGCCTGCCTGCAGAAAACTAAAGGGGGAGGTGTATACAAGACCAATCACCCTGCACAAGAAGAATGAGCAGCAGTGATTAGTCTTTATGCAAAGTTTTATGCTGGATTACTGCACAGATCTGGAGGAAATACACAAAGCACACCAATACTCATGTAACAATACACATTCCTCCCAGCTTTAAAACACTGACATTTATTGTAGTCTGATATTTTGGTGGGGCACATCCCACTTTTGTCAAGTTAATTTTCCTTACCGAAATGTCAGACTACATTAAAGTGTAAGTAATATGTAGTGTGTGCATCTCACAATAACCTGTATGCAGTAAGTAGTACAAGCGCCTAAGCATATAGGTAACAAGCTGCTATGGACAAAAAAGGTACCAATATCACCCTAGGAAATAGCAATGTATATATAAAGTGCAGCGCTCGATATTAAAGCCAATGTATATATTGAAATGGAAATAGATCCTTAATAAATTGTAGATATATATATAAATAAGAGTTCAAAGCCGAAGAAGATAGTCCAGCAAATCAATATAAAGATAAGGATATAAGTGCTCAGGTGACTTAGAAGTCCGGTATCCGTGTGGTAATGATAAGGCAATGCGCACTCACCGGACGCGCATAATAGATGCGCTTTTGTGTATAAACAATCCAGATGTGATCTGATAGTGGGTGGTCCTGCCTCTGTTTGGTATGAGGCTGGTGGTCCTCTTCCACTAGGGGTCCCCCTATGTGCTCCTGGTAGGTAGTATCCCTCTAGTTAGGCTGGGTAGCAGTAATCCGTCCAGGGAGTGTGTCTGTGGACTAAAGTACTCCCCCAGGGGATAACAAGGATACTTCCATAGTGTAGTAATTTTTAAGAAATTTTATTGTGATGCATCAAGGTAAAAATATATAAGGAATAGTTGCAGACAGTGGTCTGTTAGGGACTGACCGTCTGGTGTAGTAAGATGGCCACTGGAGCTCCACGTTGCTCCGGCGGAGTGACGTCATGGCGTGGCTCCTCCTGCCGCGTATCGTGCTCAAGCATTTCAATATATACATTGGCTTTAATATCGAGCGCTGCACTTTATATATACATTGCTATCTCACAATAACTGTTTGAGTCCCAGCTGCCATTTTAAAATGGCACTGGAACAGCAGCTTTTGGGCCCATTGCCTTTTTTATGGCATTGTGAATCAGTGATACTTTCGGATCATGGGCAGCATATAGGCTGGAACTTCTAGTGACAGGCGGCACCCAGCACCAGGCTCAGGAGTTTATATTTTAATTTCCTGGGCTTAGATCTTGTTATACAGCACTATACATTAACAGAACCCTGTAAACGCAATGGGGGAAATTAACAAGTGGTGCTGGCTGTATGCCTGCACCATTCTTCCAACCTGACAAAATAGAGCAAATGCTGCTCCTAATCAACATGATGAAATGCCCTTTGTTAGGAATGATCTGATCTATGCTGTGTCTGTGACAGACACTGTATAGAATGATACAGCTGTAGTTGAATGCTCTGATCCGTTTGCCCATCCGACTTCTACCTCCCCCCCCCGCTCAGTTGGGTGCGGTGGGGAGAGGAAGGTTGTGTCATACTCGCTTGTCTGTACCGTACTCCAGCACTGGGTCTTTTTCTCTGTGTGCAACAACAGGCTTCCAGCCAACCACAATGAAAGCACTGGCTTAAAAGGCTCATCCATACGCTAGCAGCCAAACCCCCTAATAATGTTTTCTAATAACTTTTCTAGTGTTTTCCTGTGCCTCCAGTGATCCCCAGTGTTCTCTATTGTCTTTGGGGATTTCAGCCTTGTATTCCCAGTGTATTCCCATTCTGCTTAAAGCCTTGTGTTCCCAGTGTATTCCCATTCTGCTTAAGGGCTTGTGTTTCCCAGAGTATTCCCATTCTGCTCAAGGGCTTGTGTTCCCAGTGTATTCCCATTCTGCTCAAGGGCTTGTGTTCCCAGTGTATTCCCATTCTGCTTAAAGTCTTGTGTTCCCAGTGTATTCCCATTCTGCTTAAAGTCTTGTGTTCCCAGTGAATTCCCATTCTGCTTAAGGGCTTGTGTTCCCAGTGTATTCCCATTCTGCTTAAGGGCTTGTGTTCCCAGTGTATTCCCATTCTGCTTAAAGTCTTGTGTTCCCAGTGTATTCCCATTCTGCTTAAAGCCTTGTGTTCCCAGTGTATTCCCATTCTGCTCAAGGGCTTGTGTTCCCAGTGTATTCCCATTCTGCTTAAAGTCTTGTGTTCCCAGTGTATTCCCATTCTGCTTAAGGGCTTGTGTTCCCAGAGTATTCCCATTCTGCTCAAGGGCTTGTGTTCCTAGGTATTCCCATTCTGCTCAAGGGCTTGTGTTCCCAGAGTATTCCCATTCTGCTCAAGGGCTTGTGTTCCCAGTGTATTCCCATTCTGCTCAAGGGCTTGTGTTCCCAGTGTATTCCCATTCTGCTCAAGGGCTTGTGTTCCCAGTGTATTCCCATTCTGCTTAAAGTCTTGTGTTCCCAGTGTATTCCCATTCTGCTTAAGGCCTTGTGTTCCCAGTGTATTCCCATTCTGCTCAAGGGCTTGTGTTCCCAGAGTATTCCCATTCTGCTCAAGGGCTTGTGTTCCCAGTGTATTCCCATTCTGCTCAAGGGCTTGTGTTCCCAGTGTATTCCCATTCTGCTCAAGGGCTTGTGTTCCCAGTGTATTCCCATTCTGCTTAAAGCCTTGTGTTCCCAGTGTATTCCCATTCTGCTTAAGGCCTTGTGTTCCCAGTGTATTCCCATTCTGCTTAAAGTCTTGTGTTCCCAGTGTATTCCCATTCTGCTTAAGGCCTTGTGTTCCCAGTGTATTTCCATTCTGCTTAAGGGCTTGTGTTCCCAGTGTATTCCCATTCTGCTCAAGGGCTTGTGTTCCCAGTGTATTCCCATTCTGCTCAAGGGCTTGTGTTCCCAGTGTATTCCCATTCTGCTCAAGGGCTTGTGTTCCCAGTGTATTCCCATGCTGCTCAAGGGCTTGTGTTCCCAGTGTATTCCCATGCTGCTGCTGCTTAAGGCCTTGTGTTCCCAGTGTATTCCCATTCTGCTTAAGGGCCTTGTGTTCCCAGTGTATTCCCATTCTGCTTAAGGGCTTGTGTTCCCAGTGTATTCCCATTCTGCTTCAAGGGCTTGTGTTCCCAGTGTATTCCCATTCTGCTTAAAGCCTTGTGTTCCCAGTGTATTCCCATTCTGCTTAAAGCCTTGTGTTCCCAGTGTATTCCCATTCTGCTTAAGGCCTTGTGTTCCCAGTGTATTCCCATTCTGCTCAAGGGCTTGTGTTCCCAGTGTATTCCCATTCTGCTCAAGGGCTTGTGTTCCCAGTGTATTCCCATTCTGCTTAAAGCCTTGTGTTCCCAGTGTATTCCCATTCTGCTTAAGGCCTTGTGTTCCCAGTGTATTCCCATTCTGCTTAAGGCCTTGTGTTCCCAGTGTATTCCCATTCTGCTCAAGGGCTTGTGTTCCCAGTGTATTCCCATTCTGCTCAAGGGCTTGTGTTCCCAGTGTATTCCCATTCTGCTTAAAGCCTTGTGTTCCCAGTGTATTCCC